GGACATGTTGAAAATTTACCTGGGCATGGATCAGTTTAGTCATACAATGAGGGAGGATTTTAGGAGCTAATAAAATAAGGGATCCTCCTTTGCTCACTGGAAATAAAGGAAGATTAACAGTGGAGAAGGATTACAATAGTAGTAATATAAAACTATGTACTATTATTACAATAGTAGTAATATAAAACTATGCTTATCTGGAATAGCCATCACTACTGGCTTGCCTAGTAGTATGTAGAGAATTCTTTTAAGTGGCATTTCTGTTCAAATGTATTGAAAGCATAGGAGAGGAATAACGTGAAATTTACACAAATTCAACTGATTTCTGTGTAAAAATGAATGGGTAGGAGGGAAGCAGCAAAGGGTAATTAGGTAGACATACGTGCCCTCAAAGCAGTGAGCCTATTTCCAGTTCAGGTTAAACCATGACCCTCAACCATTCCTGCTAGTCCACTCCAAAAACTTTGTCAGTGTTTTTCCACATCACTGTTTGATAAGGAGGATGGATACAATAAACTTACTTTTAGAGAGTACTGTAAGAGACTCCAGGTTCCTGAAAATGAATGATGAATGGTCTTTCCTCATCAGAACACTTGCTAACCTATTCATGGAGCAAAAGTTGTGCAGATTTTAGGTGCTGATTTGAAATATGAAGTTAATATGAAAAGATAAGAATAAAATGAAATTTTTAGCTGTGGAGTCAGGAACCAAAGAAGCAGAAGAGCTCCAGAAGTCTCTGGAAGTAAACTGAATGATTTATAAGGTTAGATGAGTTAGTCAGAGGAGCAGTGGAATAAATAATGTACGTAACTTTGACTTCAAGGATGTACATATTGACATTAACAGAAGTTAGAGGATTCTCTCATTTTGACCTGCAGGCCAGGTGCTTGTAAGGATGCCCAGACAACCAGGGACGGTCGTGTCTTGAGCTTTAATCCTGTATTCTAAGAGGGCCAGAAACCAGCTCCAGGAACTAAGGGTATGAGCAGGCTAGACAATTCTGCATGTTCTTAAGGCATTTTTCTGGTGTAGGCAAAGCCTACTGGATAAACACACCATGTGATGAGTGAGCAACTGGCTCAAGGGTTGTAATGAATGGGATGGCATAAGSCTGGTTACCTGTCACTAGTGGTGCTCCACAGGCTCCATCTTAGACAACATTCTCTTCAACATTTCATAATTACCTGGATACAGAACTGGAAGGGACACTAAGCKAGTTCACAGATGATAAAAAACTGGGAGGAGCTTTTAACTCCCTTGAAGACAGGAAGGTCCTGCACAGAGACCTCAACAAGCAAGATGGCTGGGCAAACCCCAACCATATGAACTTTAACAAGTTCTGCACCTGGGATAGGGTAGCCCTGGGTGTACACACAGACTGGGGAATGAGATGCTGCAGAGCAGTGCCACAGGGAGGGACCTGGGGGTCCTGGGCAATGAAAAGTTGAGTATGAATCAGCAGTGCCCTGGCAGCCACAAGGGCCAACCCTGTCCTGGGGCACCAGGCCCAGCATCGCCAGCCGGGCACAAGGGAGGGGATTGTCCCGCTCTGTTCTGACCTGGGGCAACCTCACCTTAAATACTGCATGCAGTTTTGGTCAGTCCAATATAAGAAAGATGTGAAGCTATTGGAAAGTGTCCAAAGCAGGGCAATGAAGACAATGAAAGGCCTTGAGCAGAAGCCATATGAGGCATGGCTGAGGGCACTCAGTTCAGCCTGGAGGAGACAGAGGAGACCTCATTGCAGTTATAACATCCTTGTGAAGGGAAGAGGAGGGACACTGATATTTYCTCTGTGATGACCAGCGACAGGATCTAAGGGAATGGCTGAAAGTTATGTCAGGRGAAGTTCAGGTTAGCTATTAGAAAAAGGCTCGTCACCCAGGGGATGGTTGGGCACTGGAATAGGCTCCCYAGGGAAGTGGTCACAGCTCCCTAAGGATGTGGTCTGAGCACCAAGTTCAAGAAGATTTGGACAGGGCAGGAGCTGGACTCAGTGATCCTTGTAGGTCCCTTTCACCTCTGCACTCTCTGTGACTCTGTGAAGTATGGCTTCCTTACTCCATGCTAGTCCAACTCAGACAGCTGCACTGACTGCTGATGCTCATTGTATTAGAGATTTTAATAGACTGTAGTGTTACAATGTTCCATCAGTTATTTCATGGTTATATAAGCAATCTCATATTTAGCCAAAATATGGCTAATATGGCATAATAGYCACAGACTAAGAAACATTCCAGTGATAAAACTCGAGGAATATTTTATTTACTGTTAATTTTGAAACATAATAATATATTTTAAATTCATGAAGATGATAATGTGGTGTTTCTGAGTTCTAAATCTTTCTGCCCTTCAACAGACACACACTAAGTCAAACCATGTTAGTATGTAACATGCAGATATTTTGGTTATGAACACTGCTTGACACAGCTGAGTTTCAGTGTTATCCCTTTCTTGTGAGATCAAAGTAGATGTTATTTATTAATTTTGAGAATTACTGCAATAAAAAGAATCACTGTATAACTGAAACCGATTTTTATCTGTTTGCAATGAGCCCTTTGGCTGAATGGTGTATGGGACCAAACAAAAAAAAATTAATTGGAGAGTTCGTTTGCAGATTTAAGACTTAAACAATGTGGGCAGCTTTTGTAGCAGTACGGAGTTGTGCCTTTATGGTTGAGRAGGTCTCTTGAGGGCTAAGAGGATATTTTGGGCAGAAGTGTGTAGGTGTCATGTTTTATTCTCAGACAATATGCTGATAGCAAAGAAGTAGAAATAAATAACTTGTGATCAAAGTTCTCAWTTTTTTTAAATAATTATTTTACATAAAAGTTAAAATGTGAAGGGAAAGGTGTTTAGCTCTAGGGAAAAAGAAAGCAATTTTTATTTACACTGAAGTAAATTTTTATCTTTAACCAACAGAAGGTCAGAGACAAAGCAAAATAAACACAATAAAAAAAAAAAGAAATCTTTATTTTTTTGGCTCATATGTAATATTGTTTGCGTTGTTTATGATAATAACAATTTCCTGCATGCATTTCACCAACACATTACAAGTCAAAAGCATTTGTAAAAGAAAAATTCTACATTTAATGTTAGCTTGTGTATGAAACATATAATGTCCTCATGTCCTTGATTATACAAATGTGCCATTTTTTTCTTGGGAAATATTTTATTTGTACAAGCCTAGTGCACTGTGATTCAAAAAAGAATAAGAGTAGACTATGTAAACAGACACTGCAAAATAGCAAGGATTTAACGAACTATGAGACTGTCTTGGAAGTTCTGATGCAAACAGTGCTAGAAATTTGCACATTTCCCTAATGCTTTCCTTGCTATGTCCTGTAACTATTTGGATACAAGCTGGGTTCCAGATTTACACAATTTACTTCACATTGGAATATATGCAAATATAATATTAAACCAGGATAGTCTACAAATATTCACTTTTTTTCTCATAGTGTGATGATGTCAGTTTGGAATTACTGTGGTTAGAAAATAAGCCAAATGAATGAGGAAAGAAATATAAGAAACCGTGATCTAGACTTGAAGACACTTTTCTTATATACAGAACTGTTGCCAAATGGTATTTCTTTACATTATTTATATATACTAACCACATTGTCAACAGGTTTAACAGTTTGCAATATGGCCTGTACACTCTGATTCTACACCATATAGCAGCCACTTCAAATTTAAAAAGCAAAACTAAAAAAGCCCATAAATAGCTGCAAACTATTGCTTAATGATTTGAAAGAATGAGGTCTGGTTGGACAGCTTGATTCACTTCATCGCTGACACATGGCTTCCTATAGTGGAGACTGTGGACAGTGGAAGGAGCAAGGTACAGCAGCAAAAGCATTGACATGCATCAGTGATACTCTCCTAACTATGACAGAATACAACAGGTCCTGTTGAGCTCTTGCAAATTAACCATACTGTGGTACATACCTGATGCAATTCAATGCAGCAAAGCCATTTAATTCTACACTCAAATATGTACAACAGTATACTGTTAATATTTACATGGAAAAGGGTATTTTATGGACTCACTGGACATTGGAGATAGTAAGAGAAGACAGTAACCAAAGAGTAGTCCACGGAAAAAATATGAGTTGTTAAACCCTCCCCAACAAAACGAAACAAAAAACCCCAAAACCAAACRAACAAACCCCCACCAAAAAAACAAACAACCAACCCCCAAATAAACAACAAAAAAACCCCAAACCACAAAAGAACTCCCAGATATATTTTGGTGAAGCTATTTTTCCAGTGCAGAAACTGCACAATATTTTTTGAACTGTAAATATTTTAATATAAACAAGAACCTGTTCATGTTTAATGATTCACATGAAAGTAAGTAATTGCAGGTTCCTGTAAATTAGAGGAGACACTCCAGGCACTAATCTGGATGCACATAATCTGRATGCAGCCATACAAGTAGTTAGAATACCACAAATTAAACAGCAAACCTGAAACATGAAAGTTCTTAAAATTTTCAGCTTTGTGCAACGTCATATTTTTATTCATGAATGATCGACAAGTGCAGCATGTCTATGCAAATCACTTCTATCTGTATTTATAGAGAATCTGAGAGTAGAACAACTGGTCCTCATACCTCTTTCCCCAACAAAAAAACTATTACAAAAATAGTCACGTAGAATAGTAAACAACCTGTGAATTAAAAAATGATAAATACACTAATACCATTTTTGTAAAAATATGACAAATGTGGCAGTTGCATTACAAACAGTGAAGAAAATTACTGTTCTACATGTTGTGGAACATAAAGTATCCTTTTGCACTCATTTCATGCTCCTCTATGGAGCCACCTTTTCTCTTACTCATAGCAGTGTCAGCTGTAGTGAAAACAGTAACCTCTTGTCAAGTTTCTTACCCTGATAAACAGAGTCGCAGTCTGATGATGGAGGTTCACTGTTTTGTTATAGGCACTGACCTTAAGTATATATATCATGTATATATATGCACRCACRCACACACACACACACACACACRCACRCACACACACACACACATATATACGTGTAAAAACTGTCAGTTTGGCATAAACCTCCTGCAGGAGTCCAGTTGATGCTTCATTCTCAAAGACTGTAAACAAGTCCCATTAACAAAATTCTTAGATCATTATTTTTTATTTTCCCTGATGTCTTTACCTTTGTAGTTCTTTTCTGCTTTATCTTTTTCRTATTTTTCTTTGTCTGGCTTTGTTACACTGTCATAAGAAGGTGGGGAGGTTGTAGAAGAACTCTCATCTGTTTTTTCTGGAGTGGAGTTCCCTTTTAGTTTATCAATAATTATCTCTTTTATAATGTGTCCATCTCCTTCTTTGTTTTTATTTCTATTATATAAACTAGATACCTGTTTAATTTTTACCCTTAAAAGGTGGCGTCTGTAAGCGCGCTGAATGATGACAGCAGAGACCTCCTCCTGTTTTCGTTTCAGTGTGGTTGTAATTGGTTCATAGGAGACTTTAGAAGGATTGGCTGCCATAAACCGATCTTCCATYTGTATTCTGAGGGCATCCATCTCCCCACTTTCCCCCAAAACACGCTTTGTGAAAGCAAACARGATGTCAAGGCAATGAATTCTGTCACCRCTCACCATGGGCAGATCCATTGCAATAAGCTGRACTTTGTTTGGTTTTGCTATGAGAAGAGGTGGATCTAAWGAAGCTGCAAAATCTGATAGTTTRCTRWAYTCTATGAATTGTGTTGCATCRGGATCAAACTTYTCCCAGACTTCATAAAACATCTCAAAGTCATCCTCACTCAARGGTTCAGCACTTTCTTCAGTAGCTACACTGAAGTTCTCYAAAATCACAGCGATGTACATGTTCACYACTACCAGAAAGGAGATGATAATGTAGCTGACAAAGAAGAAAATCCCAACAGAAGGGTTGCCACAGTCACCTTTCACAGAGCTCCCCGGATGATCTTTATGGGGATCACAGTCCGGCTCCCCACTRTTAAGAATYGGAGCGAGCAAACCATCCCAGCCMGCRGAYGTGGTGATCTGAAACAGGCAGATCATGCTGTTGCCAAACGTTTCAAAGTTGAACATGTCATCAATTCCAACTTCCCTCTTGACATAGGCAAAGTTGGACATGCCAAAGATGGCGTAGATGAACATGACCAGGAAGAGCAGYAGCCCAATGTTGAACAAAGCAGGAAGAGACATCATCAAAGCAAAAAGCAGAGTGCGGATTCCCTTAGCGCCCTTAATGAGACGCAGGATTCGACCAATTCTGGCAAGTCGGATGACTCTGAATAGTGTGGGGGATACGAAATACTTYTCAATCATCTCAGCTAGGAACATACCTAGAGAAAAAAAAAATCATTCATTATCTATAGAAAATTTATTGCTATCTCCAAAACAACCAGTATTGGGATTCTACGTTGTAGCAAAAAATTATAGAAGTTACAATATTTTATTGAAAGCTGTTATTAAGTTGAAAGCATCTTCCTTATTGAAATGCTATTCCAGAGAAGGTAAATAAAGTAAACTAAAGACTGGTTGTGGCAAGTAGGTATTATCTGTCTAAGCTTTCAGTAGTTATTAAAACACTGGGAAAGGGAAGTTTATGTCTTAGCTACAGTTAATTCTTGAAGCTGAGCCTACAACTGCTGTTTTTTATGAAGAACGATATTGCCTTAATTTCTGCAAATCAGAGATTTTTTTAAACGTATCTACATTTTATCAGCACAATCTGTCTCAGTCATCCCTTTGACCCTGGACAGTCATTAACTTTTAACTGATAAACCTTAGTTAGAAAAAGTAAAAAAAATCTCACCCATTTCACATAGTTTTCASTTTTAGTACTGAAAGTGAATCTGTGATTAGTTTGCATATACCACTAAACATTCCTCTTTATATTTGTACACATTAATCTAATGTGCCAAACAGTTCCTTTACATCTCTTGATATGGAAAATGACATTGAATCTAATGGGAATGATATAAATCTAACATGCAACATTGCATATATTGTGTGCTAGATAGTATGAAGATCTGAATCAACATGTAAGTCATCTAGGAAAAATTCCACATTCACTATCAACATACTTGAAAACAAATGTTCCCTATTCCTTCCCTTAATAGTTTCTTGAAAGGAAATTGCTCTTACCTACTATGGAGAGAATGACAACCACAAAATCAAAAATATTCCAGCCTATAGTGAAGTAGTAATGGCGAAGTGAAATTAATTTCAGGAGAAATTCTCCAGTGAAAAGKACAATGAACACGAGGTTAATCCGGGATAAAATGGTTTCCATTTCTTTACTCTGATCATCTGTTTCTACCATCATTGTGACCATGTTAAGGCAGATGAGTATCATGATGCTGATGTCAAATACTTGTTTGGTTACAAAATCAAAGATCATGCCTTGGAATTTGTTCTGCAAACACAAAGATGGAATACCATTTATACACTGAAAATAATTATTTTTAAATGCTAAATGAGAAAACAACTYCCTTGTGGAGATTTGGGAGTGCAGAGCAAGACCCATTCACAATACAGGAATAAATATAAGCCAAGTCCATGCTGGTTTCTATCTCATCCTCTTGGCATGAATCAAGAAGTTCACCACTGTTGGCTGAAAAGATGAGAAGGGAAACAGTGCAATAATAAAAGTAGTAACCATGACAATTAATATTATTCGGGTAAAATAGGTAGTGAAAATTGAGAGCCAGCAAGAGTACCACCTGAATAGAAACTAATTTTCTTAACTTTATCCTCAGATGGTTTTAGAATGCTAACCCTCTTTCTTCCTTAAACTAATTGTGCTTGGTGAGATCATTGCTGAAGTTACATGTCTCAAACACATCATGACTGTAATATCCTAATTTTTCTTTAGTACTTAGCTCAATGTTGTTTGCCATATGTCTCTTCTTAGAAAGCCTATTTTTAAMTACTTGGGGCATAAGGTGCAACAAGTATTTTATTTTTTCAAACACTGTAGGAGTTTGGTAAATAACAAGAGTAGAGTCTTATCTTAGAGACAAATTTATCCTAGTCTATGCTTTACTCGCTAAGGAATTCTCTTATTCTGTAAGATTTTCTGCAGCTGTCCTTCCCATTAGGCCACTGGTGCCCTTTCTGTCTTCAGCAGCAAGGGCCAGTGCATYCCCATTTCCTACAAATTCTCTGTGAGGAGAAAGAAAGGAAAAATAAGTTTATCCCTGGTAACACAAAGCAATAAATGATCCGATCAATTGTGGTTTTCCAGAACTTAGGGAATTTTTAAATTTATCATATTAACATTATTAAATCATACTGTTCATACTTGAGTGTGGATGTTTTTAAACAACATATGAATAATCTATACTGATGGATCAAAAAAGAGACAAATTCTACTTTAAAAGCAAACAAACAGGAGAAATTATTTTTCTTTCCAGACCTGTAGCCTTATCATGTGGTTAAGATCTTATGCCCAAATGCATATTTAATATTAAAGGTGTAAAAATCAAATCACTCTTACCACTGGCCTCGGTATAGGTTTCTGTGGCTTTTTTGATCCCAACTTTTTCATTGCATTGTAGTATTTCTTCTGTTCTTCCGTCATAAATATATCCTGACCTCCAAAGTAAAGAAATAATATCAAAATTAATTAGTATCATGTCCACACATAAAACATTTAACTACAGTATGTCTCTCTGTAATATCATATTACAATTATATTTTATTTAGATTAAAAAGGTGGGGTTTTTTTCACGTATATATAGAGTGGATGCTCATATACAGTCCTAACATACAGGAAAACCCCATTACTAGTGCTTTATCAGCTTGGCAGTTGAATTTTTGCAGTGTCTTCATGCTCACTTTTGCTGAAACAGCTGAAAGGGTTCTTGCTCTATTGATGCTGTTCAATAACTTGCTGATTCGGGTATGTTTAGTGAATAGGAGTGTGACTAGTGCCTTACATGTCCCATATTCTGTGTAGATTTTTAGGATTACAACTGGGCAGGTTTAAGAGAGGCATAACTTTGMGGCACAAGTTCTGTTAAGGAGTGTATTAGTATCTTATCTGTGGGTTTTAACAATTAAAAAACCCCACCTTTGATATAAAATTAAGAAAMGTAATTCATGTTATGCCATAGCAAAACACCACTGAACCCTGGCTAACTCAAATCAGCCTCTGCCTGCAGATGCAAATGCTGCCTGTCAGATGTGCAACTGACTGACTGCCTTCCAGTATAAGGAAATTGTACTTATTGATGAATCCACAATAAGTCAGATGGAAGCACAATGTCCAAGTCGCTGTCTGCTAAATTGGCTATGGCAGCCTGAAGCATCACCAAATTGATAGTAACCCCATATTCTTTTAGGAAGCTAAAAGATATTTTCACAYGGGAAAATTTCTTTTTCTGTAGTTTACAACTTTCTTTTACCACAGATTCTGTCTGGTATTGCTGTTTTTGACTTGATGAYTGTAAAATTACAAATCATATGAAACTCCTTTTTCACAGCACACAAAAAAATTTAGAATGATCCTGGCATTTGAAAAATAGGAATTGTGAGGCTTAAAAATACTTTAGTTGTGATTATTTGTATTTTTATACTTTAAATTTCTTTAAAATTTAATATGCATTATCAATACAATTATTTTAAACATACATGTATGTCAAATACATATAGAAAGAAACCGCCATTCCCACTGCTTTACTACTAACAAGAAATTATAGATTGCATTTGTCTAATGAATTCATCTCATTTCTCATAAAAGTGATGGAAATAAAAGTCTTTATGTACATATTTTTACTTTTATCTATAAGCCTATTCATGAGGTTTATTGGACTTAACTTACTGTTGAATCAGTTTGCAGATGCATTATTCATTGTATGAACACAATGCCATATTGTGTCTTCATTAAGTGTCAAGAGTTTGCAAGATTAATTAAAATTAATTCACATTAATTTATCTTAATTCTTTTGAGTAAACTGAAAAAGAAATTCTTTCATGCTAGATAGTATTGCATCTAATCAAACCAGTAATGCACATTCACTTTTTTCATCTTCATTTTAACTGTTTACACAATTTGCAAATTATTATGAACCAACTTTTCACTTGTCCAAATGCTAAAAATACAAAGTTCAAACTCACATCCACAAATTTTTGCACAGATTATTATTAAAAAAGAGACACTTTAAAGTCTGGAAATGACTTTTGATTTTTATAAGCCTTACATAAATAAATTTTTAATTCATTATAGTTAGCAATTCATACCAATATGGAAATATTTTAAATACTTATCTTCTTTTTTTGTTGGTTGAAGTTGTCTATAATAACACCAATGAAAAGGTTCAAGGTAAAAAATGATCCAAATATGATAAAGATGACAAAATAGAGATACATATACAAGTTGTCCTCATACTTAGGCTGATCTTTTACCTACAAAATATTAAAAATTTTATTACCCAGGAGAATACTAGATGAAAAAAACACTGTGTATAATTTAAGTACATGTCATCTTTGATAGAAAAGCTATGAACAACACCAATTTGTTAAAAAGACCCATTATGACCTTTCCAATCAATATTTAGAGAACTGGAAGCTGACAGTATTATTGTTCATAAGGATTTTTTTTGTAAATGTGCTCAGAGGTATGTTTTTGTATGTACATATTTAAAAAGTTCTTCATATAGAAGGAAAAGTCAATGTAGGATTGAGAGCAGTCATTAGTACTTAAAATTTTAACAGCAGAAAACAAAATATTTTATACTGTGTTCAGTATATTATCATGCAGCAGAATCAATAAATTTTACTATCTCTTAAATCTCACTGGAACCCTTTGGGTCTTGCATGAGTGTTCTTACATCCAGCTAGAAACAGATGCTTTCAATAAATTTTAGTGAATATATGTTTTGCAAAAGCCGTTAAATTGAGGCAAGCTTCAAAGGAAGATTTTGATTTTGTCTCAATTTTTCTAGATTCCACATCCCAGCATCTGCACCTATACAGCACAATGAGCTAGAGTGTAGAAATGCTAATGATATGAAATAGGATCTTTTACTCTGGGAGATGATATAATTAACATGACCATTTGTATAAGTTAAACATAGTTTTAGTTTTGTAGCAAAGATAAAATTCTAATCTCCAGAAAGTTTAACAGATGATCTTCAATCTTAAAATCTAATTTCACTTAAAAATCTAATAACATAGGTGTTCAACCTAAGGAAACAACAAAATGCACAGGTACAAATTATAAAATTGGATTAATGTATCCAATATTTAATAACTGCATTATATAATATTAAATTAATTCATACTCATGATTACCAAAAGAATTGGTTAAAAAAACTCTTTGTTCTATTACATTAACATTATCCTTTMAAAAAAAAAAATTCTATTAATTTAGCTTCTTTGGCTAAACAGAAGGAAGTGGGATTAATTATTTCCAATAAAAACTCTGAGATACAAAAATATATGAATGGGTGCTGGTTATAATTCTTTGTTGTGAGTATAGTTGTTCTTTTGTGTATGTAGCTGTTTAAATTCTATACTCTTTATCAGAAAATAATCAACAGATGACCTTTGAAAATTTTATGCTTACATCTCGTGAATCAACAGCAGCATACATAATATCCATCCATCCTTTGAAAGTAGCCTAGAAATAAGACACAGTTGTTTATCTTCCCCATAAAAATTCATAATCTGTACAATAACTAGGTTGCTTTTATCTGGACCTTGACTTTTAATAAAATCACTCCTAAATTTTTAAACCACACCTAACAACAAAAGCCTCATAAAATATTTTTCACAGTAACACTAGTCTTTTTGAGAATTTCTTTTTTTTTAGTATTCAAATAATATTAAAAACCAGTCTCTGAAGGTCACAGCAAATCTACAATGTGTTTGGAGCAGCGGATGATTACTTTGCAGATGAAGAATGATAGATTTAGGCAGACATAAATGCTGGAGATGTTTGGGTAGCATATACTAGAATCACTTGTGGCCACAGCCATTTTGTTAAGTTTACRACAGGAATTGATGGAATCAGTAATATAACTTCTGGACAGAAACCAACATACATCTGAATGTTTTYTTCTGTGTCTAAACTGACCCAGTATTTTTAGAAATGTTTTAATCCCATATAGCTAAAAGGAATAGACTGTTCAAAGCAAAAATACACATTGCTTCTTGAAAGATATTTTACAGAGGACCAAAAAGTGAACTGTGAAAGAGCTCTAATTAACATCTATAAAAATTTGGCCGAGTTCCTATAGAGACGTTATCTAGGCAAAGAGTAAAAAMGATCTGGCATCATTGCTCTAAGAAGGTGATTTTCATGGATGCAGGGTGTCCATTTTCTAAGGAGCACCAAAGTTGGTATGACACACTGGATGAAAGTATGAGTGTGCAACCATTAGCCAGCGTTTCCAAGCTTATTCACAATAAAGAAGAAAGAGCTAAAAAGCCTGTGAAATGAACAGAGGGCATCACTCCTGAGCAGATTTAGGAGAGGAACCATCCCAAGGAGTATATTCCTATCTGTGCTTGCCAGAAGTAGGTTTGGTACTTCGATACAGCTGCTAGTTTTCACAGCAGAAAACTTGCACACTGGAAGTGTCCGTATCCTCCTGAATCTTGCAGTGCAATATCCATTTACTAAGAAGGTGTGCTTCAAACCAGGCTTCACAGATCATTCTGGCTCAGTTGGCAACTGCCAGCCATTTGATGCACTTTGCATAGCAAGATTAGAAAAGGAGCAGAGCTACAGGAGAAGAGTGGAGGGAGAATGTTAATGGAGGCAATYGGATGAAGAGGTGACACAATACATGCTCAAATATCCTTTAATCCCTATGGGGAAAGTGAAGGTCAGAAAATAAATATTTCAAAAAGGAAAATTATGAAAAGTCAGAAAAAAACCCCCAAAATCCAAGAAGAATTAAAGATTAAAGATTCACAGTAGTGAYGTAGTTGTTAAAGACCAACACTGTCTGGATATGTGACACAGATGACATTCATACACAGATGACATTCATGCACAGCTTCAAGAGAAGCAGTTTTCCTTATACATCTTCAGAGGCAATGGTAGCAATGAGATCTGAAGTCAGAGAATATCATTCAGTACTACTACTCAGCATATAAGACTCACAGGTACCTTTAGAGGCAAAACATTTTGAGCTAGATAGTTAACTTTGGAATTAAGGTCAGCTAAAGATACTGACCTGCTCTGAGACAGAAGGGAAAAGCATGTAATTCTTAGATAACTTTGAGTATCAGAGCTGTAAAAATCTCATTACATTTATGATGTCTTTTCATGCAGTGAAGCTATATGTTGAGTTACAGACAAGTGATTCTACAGAGTTCAATCATCTAAATGTAATTGCATACTTTCTTGCTTGTGTTTTGGATCATATTCCAGCTCTCTGAAGCTCCATTCTAAGCAAGGAACCTGTAAAGAGCTAAGGTCTTTATTTCTCTGGCATAAATAAAATATGTTCAGTACCTAGAATAAAGGCATTTCTGTACACAGGGCATAGGATAAGGGATTGAAGGAGAAATACAGTTCACAGATTTTGTAGCAGTAGCAGTAATTAATGGAATCAACATGCTATGCAATACAATAATATCTAATACTTCACAAGGATAATACTAACAGTAACATAATACTTTGTGTACTATAATGACTCTTTAATTAGCATTAAGGAATATGATAGTTCTATACTGTGCACCACTATAGAGATTCTTGTACCTTTTTCACTTACTATTTTCACATTATTATTATCATCATGAGACTGTATTCCATAGACTTGGAAGGGAAAATTGTTCTGCTATCATTAACAAAAAAAAATTACAAGAAACAATGTTGTAGAGTTCTGTGAGCTGTAGATTATTGCCATGAAGAAATTATTCCACTGCTTAACAGTCTTAACTTGCCCATTTTTCCTAATTTTTAAAAGAGCAAAACCAAAATATATACATTACTTACTACTTGAAGCAGAGCAAGATATCCAGCTCCTACATTATCGAAGTTTACTTTCACATTCTTCCATCGGGCACTTTGATTGCTTTTTATGAGTTCCACACACTGAGTATAATTGTTGACATCACTGATATCAAACATCTCACCAGTTGTGGTGTTGACACAGTGATAGAATTTTCCAGCAAACAGATTTACTCCCATGATGCTGAAGATTAGCCAGAATATAAGACATACCAGCAATACATTCATGATAGATGGGATTGCTCCTACAAGGGCATTTACAACCACCTGGTATACAAATTAGACAAAATAGCTGCTTAGTTTATGAAGAGAAAATGAAAAATACTTTAAAATACTTWAAAAATGTCAAAACAGTATTATTCTGGGATAGACATTTAAAATATTACATTAAAATGTATAGGGGAAATTTTAATTAAGTTTTAATAAAATGCTAATGAGATTGCAAAAAGCAAGAAATAAAATGAGATGGAAATGAAGACAATGCAAAATTCTGAAAAAAAAATCAAAAAGCAAAATAAAACCTGTTAGTAGCAAGATGGATTCTTAGAATTTGTGTGCTCTAGAGAAAAAGAGAGAAATAAATGTTAAATTTCAGCAATATAAATGAAAATATATAAATAGAAAATAAACCAGAAAAAGCTCAAAGAATGATGATGTGGAAGACTGAACTAAAATGTCCATATGTAAATGTATTATTACTAATGGTTTTTTTCTTAGAAACATTATATATGTATTGACATCAGTGTACTTCAGCATCCACACAGAATGCAACATAGTTAAAGACACCTTATTTACCCTTTATTAACATCATCTGCTCTGAGTCTTGGTTTTAAATTGCCTGCATCACTACAGTTGGTCTTACACTTCTTTTTCTTTATAATTGGCTGCATTTAATTCACTTGAGCTACTGTGTGTGGGCAATCGGCAGTAAAAAACAAGATGAAATATTTGGACAAAAGTTTTCTTTTACTTATTGTGATTCAACTAAAAGAAAGTTGGAGATATTCAAACAATAATTTTCTAGCAAATCAGTAGAGACTGCAGTAGACTTTTGTGTATGGTTTTGAAAAAGGTAGTATTTTTCATTTCACTGAGCTGACCGACAGCAGTCTAGTCTCAATAGAAGTTTTGCYTATTTATAAGATAGGGACTTAGTGTGTTGTTTGGAACACAAATAATTTAAAACAAAGTGGTGATGGTGATGTGCTCCAAGTCATACTTCCCTACACTGGCAAGTATGGCCACCTCTAGGATATCAGCAGCCTTGCCCAGACAGGAACCACATTATTTATCTGGAAACTGAAGACCYGTGACTGAACTATAAATATCTATTGCAGAATTCAGGTGAAGGATTAAAAGGAGATTTGTCAATAACATTCCCTTGTTAATTTTTTATATGTCGATTTTCTCAGGAAACAGCATAGTCTGCATTTTCAGCAGACAGTTTATAAGAGGGTTTTTCCAAGTGTTCTGTTTTTTTGGGTTTTTTTTTTTTTGTGGTTGGTTGGTTTGTTTTTGTCAGAATGGCAAAACATGAAAATAACAATCTCCTCAACAGGAAGATTTTTGCTCTCTAGGAGATGTAAGATTACAGTAGATACATTCATATGAAGAAAAAGGTCTCTAGCTGAGGAAAAGATTTCCCATCTCTCCCCTTCTATACTTCCAAACATATCCCTATTTCAGGTGTCTGTTGAGAAAACCTTTCCCTAATACTACAGCATTTACAGTGGGMTTTTCTTTCCTAGGCAGGTAGATAGGGGAGCATAGTGAGGCTTTAGTTTCCAGTGTGTCACTATTGTCAGCTTTTTCATCTTGTTTTGCTTTGTTTTGTTTTCTGGCTAATCCTGTTCCATCCTGAATCACTGACAAATAGATGTTAGTAACAGAAATCAGTTTTAAAAAAATTCCCAGATAAACTGCAGAAAAAACCTTCAAACCCTGTATTGGAAAATTGTCCTTTTATTTTCCTGAGTCCACAAATTAATGGAAATTTTAAGAGTCTGGGGGCTGGGATACCACAACTATGCAGCAGTCATCAGGCAAATTTAGAGCTCAAGGTCTAATTTCCAAATGTAAAGTGTACATAGGTCTCGTTTGTAAGGACCTGTTGAAAGGCCTTTTTCCACATGTTTTTTTTCATGCATTCGCCTTCTGAAGTTCTTTGAAGAAAGCATGATTGTAACCATTAATACATTCATTTTTGTATGCATACATTTGTTCAGAATCATTCATTTTATCTCACCCTCATTCCTTCAAATCGTGACAAGGCTCTTAAAGGTCTTAAAGCTCTTAATGTCCGTAGCGATTTAATGGCACCAAGTTCAGAATAGCCCAGAGCATTGGCTATTAAACTAACCAATGAGACCTATCAAATACAGAAAAAAAATATTTAAAACATCATTCTACACTGATCATTTAAAAAGAATACAGATTCAAGCACCAAATCAACAGTGACAAATTGTAGAATGCCACAGTTTTCCTAATTGCTGGAAAGGCGAGTGGTCTCATAAAGGCATGACTGAAAAAGGAATATATGCTATTAAATATCTGTGGTTAGATAGGTTTTAGCACTCAYATGTAAGCACACTTGGTGAAGCACGCTGTTGGTGAAGAATAAATTTTTCAGGAATATTTAAAGACAAAATAGCCATACTTTCTGTAACTTCATTATGGTTCAACCTTCCAAACAATTTAAAATTCTGAATTCATTAAGTTATTTTATTAACTTCTGACAATATTTTGAATATCTATAAACACTAATAATAAACTAAATATTGTAGTGGATAATTACAAATATTGTTATAAATATCCGTTCTAAGTCAAACACTTATTTCATAGCAACAATAACCAGGATATCGCTGAAATATGTATTGAAAGAGGTAGTACTTTCTCACTTGCCTAACAAGTTTGTTATTTTTTTTAAATCTTCTAAGTATAGGAAAATATTATGGGATAGATATTAACAGCTGCTAGCCTTATACCARTAAGAGTTTTGTTATCTACAATAGTATTAAGCTCCTGATGCATGTTACTGAGATTTTCTTATAAGACAATCTACTAAAGTAAGGAGCAATTAATTTGCTTTTCAAATGGAACTTTAGACAGTGTTAATATGAAAGAAATTCATTTTCTTAGAACAGTTTTGGAGACAGGAGAGGGGAAATATCATACCTTACTCATATTTTATTCATTTTTTCCACCAAAAGCATAGATAGCATATAAATGAACATAGGTATATTTTGRTTCTTGAGAAAATCCCTCAAATGCTCATTTCTGTGCCTCAGTTTAAAAAACACCTCAAAGAGTACAGAAATAGGCATTGACTGATAATGGTGTTAAGATCTTGACCATTATATGAAAAGTTGGTTTCTGATGTTAGTTATATCCATAAAGAACAATTAGATGAATCACAAACAAGAGTTACAAATCATGTCTAAAAGGAACAATCCGAGAGCAAATACAAATTGATTATTCACTGCTGTGTGTATTATCTAACAGAAAATACTATTTTAGTGAATTCATATCACTGCACATTTCAACTGGATTACATGTCAGAATATAATTATTTTTATCAAAGGAAAGGATTATTTTATTGCTCTAATGGATAAATGGAACTTGCTGTGATTTATAAGCATATTAACAAGAAAATCTTACTGAGTTTCTAAGTCAGTTTTCTTACTGAACTGAAATCTGTTCACTTACACTTGAGACGACATTATTTTTTTCAGCCATTATATTAAATATTGACATGAATTATTATTAATAATTATCATTAATACAATTTATTTGTCCTGCAATTCGACAATGACAGAGATCTTTTTGATACTTAGCCACCCATAATTATTCCAGAGATAACAAGACATGGAATCTCCTGTAATTTTAATAGAATGTTCATTTATTCACTCAAATCAACAAGACACTCAGGCATGACAATAAACCTCAGTGTTAAGACAGCACATTTTACGAATTAAAAATAAATAATGAAACAAATATTTAAAAAATTTCTCACTAGGAGAGAGATTGAACTCACATGAACGGCTCCTTCAATTATACTTTTCTCCTCAAATTTGCACTGTGCTTTAGCTACCTTTCACCAACAAGACCCCTTCCAACTAGTTAGGTAGCAGTAGCCTCTGAAAGTTCAGTGGCACTGTTTGAATTGGCAGTTCTTATGTTCTCATTGTAAGTCATTCTTCAGTCTTGTTTGTGCCTCCTATTTCAGACTATTGGCAGCTTTCTTACCATGGTGATAATGCTCTTACATCATGAACCTGAAGTTTTTTCTAGAAGAATTATTTCATGTATCGGAAACAATGTGTTTTCCTCTGGACAGTACACATGGGAAGCAAAAATTTGCTTGGAATTCTATTGTATATACAGCTATTCTGTACTTCTCTCATCTTGCACTTGTTTTGTTGCTAGTACATGAGAACATACATGTCTCTGTACACTGATAAATAGACTAATGCACACAGATTGAGTAATTTTAAGARATGAAAATAAACTCAAAATGGTAGAAAGATATGCCTCCTAAAAATGAAGGGTTGTATGTCCTCATTTGTGTCTGTCTTCTGATGTAGACTATGCATTACAAAAAAACCCCACCTTTTTGAAACTTAGCAGTGACAGCTCTCCTCAAGAACTTTGTACAGTAGAGATGGCATTCATGGAGTCTTAAACTGAGGTAGGCAGATAGGGCAAGAGTCAATCTTTCACAATAGTAAAGTGACAGACCTGAAAAATTACCATTTCTCAGTGTAATTATTAAAATCYAATTTGGTCACAATCAGTGAGAGCAACTATGGCTGCTTGTCACAGTGAGAGACTCAGGTATGTGAGATATTAAAGGTCAAAGCCCTAAAGGACTATGTGTGTTTACTCTTGAAAATTGTAGAGATTGGATTAAACAATTYGATTAACTTCAGTCACTTCTAATGAAGAAGGAGACACTGGAGYTCTGACTGGCAGAATGCCACTGAATCACACCAGTTTAGCTGCCAGWTAAAGCAGTGTGGAGTCTCTGCTTTCCTATAGGAAGGTAAACATGAGCTCTTAYATTTCTTTCAAGTGTTGTCTGGGGCTGCTGAAGAAATTGCTGAGTTAGCCTTAAGAACAGTGAGGCATTTTTTACCCCTTGCTGAAACATTGACTATAAGTCTTCAAAAGTAGAAACTTCGAATGTTATCTAGCCATGTTTTTGTTTATAAAATTACAAATTATAGTAAAAAGTTAGGAACATAAGCTGCTTTACTTGTAATTATGTATATTTAAGGTTTGAAAGCCTGCTCATAAGAGCATCTCTGAGGCTAAGCTAAGAAACCACAGATTAATTAGAATAATCTGTTTAGGTTTAAGTTTCAAAAAGAATAAAACATSAGTTGTAGTTTATCTAAAAAAATATCCATTCTTAACAGAATCCTGTAAGAGGTCATCTCTTTACTTCATTAACACCCTCTTAGGAAAACTATTCTGCTTCATTCTAGTGCAGGTTTTCAGGACAGTATAACTGAAACTGTAGGTTAGAAAAAGGAAGAGGGTCCATTTTGAAATATGGGCCTATCTAGCTAGTGTGGTTTTTAGCCTGTGGGAGTTACAAATATGATACATTTCCATATACATATGGAATAAGAATTGATGGGACTAGGATTTCTGCAAACTCTCAAGAAATGTAGTAGCATGGGCAGAAATTACTRTATATGCACAATTTCCCTGAGATGCCATCTCTCAGTTCCACACTGAGGACATGCATAGCCAATGAACTGGGTCAGATAATGTGTGAGGCAAGAGACCAAAATATTCTGGGAGCAAAACCAACTTTGATCCCTTCTGACAACATAAGCAAGGCCTTTGCACAGAAGTATATCACAGCTGGGAAGGCAGCCAAGAAATCTTGTATTCTCTTCCATCATAAACCCTGCCAAGTCATTGCAGATTGTCAGTCCATTAAAACTAATTATTCTTTAGATCAAATAGCCACAGTCTTTCTGGTTTTATTAGAAATGATTACAGGATAGTTTTCAGTGAGAGAGTTCTGAAAACTTAGATGAAATCTGGACCAAATTAATTGTTTCATTTGAAAAGATGCACCATTTTAAGATGAAACTTGAACAATGAGCTGTCTTATTTGGTAAGGAGTAAGGTACCACGGTCAGAGTCCATTCAAGATAGCATGCTTAAAAACAAGACTTTTTCTGCATAAAATCTCAAGTTTGATACCTCTTTTGTATGAAAATATTAACCATGAAGAATGGTCAAACTGAGAGCCAGTCATCCTTTTCCTTTTAATATACGGATGGACTTCAAATAAACCTCCCAATCACTGCTGGCCATTATTTAATGCAGTATAACTATAACATGGGAATTATTTTTGCACATTTATAATATTTCTCTGATAGTAATGAATTTTACAACATAGAAACTTTACTATAGCAAAATGGACAATATTAATTTGTACTTACATCAACAATCAGGAAGTCCAGCCAGCACCAGGCATTAGTAAAATATATTTGGAAACCATATGCTACCCATTTTAAAAGCATTTCCAAAATGAAAATATACGTAAAAACTTTGTCAGCGTATTCCAGAATGGTCTTGATAGTTTTGCGTTGTTCAATATATATATCTTCAAAAGCCTGCAGAAATATATTCAGGTRTTACTACTGTTTCACAGAATATGCATTATAAAGTTCAGGAATAAAGAACAAAGAACAATTAGGGCAGAGCTAGTATTTCCTCTTGTTTTATGGCATTCTCTTATTTTGTATACTTCYCATCTTTAACCATATTACTAATGGGAGCAACTGGAGCCCCGTCTGGAGGTTTGGTTTTTTTTTTCCAAAAAAAAAAAGGTACATTGTCTTTTACTAATGAATGAAAAAATAAATTCACAGCATSAATTTTTATCCTTTGTGATATTAAGAAACTTTCACATACACACAAAACCACCCTTTTCTWATATATCTGTTCCAGATACATTGCTTTCTAGAGAGTAGTTAGATCAATCCAACTTATATCTAAAAATCAAATGAAAAAGGTATATATTTGCTATAATGAACTACTGTACACATTGATATTGTGGCAAATGTTCAGCTTGAGTAAAGCTGGAAAGGTGGGCAATGCAAATCTTTCTGGAAAGCATTAATTTGCTTCTGCACTCTTCTGTATCTCCTGCCTTCAAAATAGAAACTGAATGAAGAAATTAATCCATTTTTTTTGGAATGGTCTTTCACAAGCAGAATTCAAAGAGTGGCTGAGCCTAGGAGGAATTAAGGGCTTAAACCCATACATTTAGTTATATATTCACAGTTAACAATAGTCCTTTGTTCTCAAATCTCTTGACAAACATGCTCAAAATTGGCAAGCAATTTAAACTTAGGAGTAGCTATACTCTTAAAGAAAATGGTACCATTTTACAGCAACAAGACAAGATTATGACTAAAAAAGTGCATGTAAAATTTATCAAACTTTTTCAAGATTGGCTCAAGTTTCATTACATCCCAGAATGATGAAATGCAGGGAGTTTTATATAGCTCCAAGCAAAGCAAGTCTTTCTGAAGCAAATTTTACTTTTGCTGTTGCTCATAAAGAGATACCTAAATATTTCAGCATCTGCAATTTTGTTGTACTTACAAGTGCTCCACTGCTGAGGAGAATCATGAATACAATGAAAGTCTCAAACCAATTGTGTTCAACTATGCTGTAGCAGGTTTTTCTAAGATTCCACCAAGTTTTTCCTTTGCCATCCTCTATACTTACTTGACAACATGGAAATTTCTGCACACAACCTGCATTASATTAAGAGATAATTAGTATCCAAAAGCCAATTACTTCAAAGTCAGTATTTACTGTGGTATCAATATTATTAGAGGCTTTAACTAATTTAGTAAGATTTTAAAAAATTAATCACTGAAATGCTGAATRGGATATCGCATCACACAGGATGATAAATATCTGAATTTAGAAAACTAATCTGGGCACAAACTAGACAATAGTATACTTAATTATGAATAAAGTCAATCAAAAAAAAATCAGTATTTTTTACTGTTGACATGCAATTTTTCCATTTGTTGATGGAGTCACACAAAAGTTTATTTGTTCCAAATTTCAAGGGCCCTTTCAAATAACTGAAAAGGAGTTTAACAATAGAAAAGTTAAGCAAGTTTCTTAATTACAAGATGCATGAAGTGGCCAGATATATGAAGTTACTCAAAGCCAAGGGAAACCTTCCTCTTTTGGAATCTGATTTCCAGTGTTCTAGGCTAAAAATATTTTCTTAGGATTTTTGAGGTCATGAACGTCCAGCAGATTTGAAACCCTGAAGAACCTAAATATGCCTAGTAATAATGTCATTTTAGTAGTACATCTCTTAAGTCAACAGGTATTCTACAACCTTCAGTAAAACAGGCTTCTGGTTCAAGTGCTTCTTCACTTTCAATTTCTGCTTGCTCGCCCTCTCCAGGAGGAGCAATATCAACAGTGCTGCCTTCTGACGAGCTTGATGCATTTAGTTTCTGTAAGTAAAGTTCCACAGAAGAATTTTTTCTTATTAGATACATATTCTGTAAAAACTGGTACTGAAGCAAATCATGCCAGTCTAACTTTCGAAGAATGGCAAACTTATAAATATGCATCACCAAAAGTAAAGCTATAGTAAATGTAAATTGCATGGTTCTGTTTCCCAGTTTATCTTCTCATAGGGAACAATTAAATATAATTTGGTTACTAACCTGGTCCGTGTATGTGACTGGTGAAGAWTTCTGAGCAGTATTAAAACCAGAAAGCTTTCATGCACCACATTCTCAAGTTATTTCACTTTCTTTACTATTATGCTGGATTACATTGAAAAAGTGTTCTAGTTTTTCTAGCAAAATGAACTAACACAAATTTGCACATATATCTTCTTGTCCACTATAGATGGTATTTTCACAAAAAATACACATTATCTGGATAATTTATTGTAAATTCAATAGCATTTAATGGCAAATTTCTGCACGATTTAACTTTTGCAGAAAGCACAAATTACCAGAGCTGAAACATCTTCTTTGCATTCCAGTCTCCTGTGCTTATTGAGATACCTCCTGATGTCCTTTCCATCCCAAATTTTTCTRTCATTCTACTATTTTTTGTACAGTAGCATACTATAGTCCTCACTACAGTAAAAGCATTTCTAGATCTAAAAACTGCAGGAAGTGGAGAGTGATAGAAAAAATAAATTAAGAWTTTTTTTTCTAAGTACATTAAAATTCTGATCAGGTCATACAGTTTATCAGTCACACAAGACTGGCCATGATTTTTCCCTTTTAAGAAAGCATATGTTGAAAGGAAAATACTGCTAAAGAAGCATAGAACAAATGCAATAATCTGACATAATGCTTGTAACTTATTTTCAGTTGACAGTACTGTTGCACTGTTGTAATTATTTTCATCCAAAATACCTTCTCTTTTACCGTGCAATAAGCCTTGTAATCAGAAAGCAACATAAAAAAATCATGGCAGTGAAGTTCTAATTTATCACGTTGCAGTTGTACATAGGAATTTCAAGGGTGATGCAGAATGCACCTCTAACTTAAATACTTTAAATTGTACAGGTACTGATGTAACAAACGGGCATTCCAGCACTGTCTAGATTTGTGCATTTAGCTAAGCAGACCTGATCATGTCTTTGGCCTTTGGATGAAGGTCATCTTTAAAAAACTTGAAGATCTTTCTATATAATTTTGTTGAGAGAATTCTTAATATCAGCTACTAATCACATTTAGTTTTCAAGGTAGAGACATTTTTAGAAAAACTCCCTACTGTTCAGATATCACAACAAGTAATAAAAAATTAACATTTCTTGAAAGAGGCCCTTCCATGTATTCKCTTCTTCTTCTTCAGAGACATTGCTGAAAATTAAAGCTAATTATTTAACTCTTCAGTTAAAACCCAGTCTCTTCAGGAAAATGTGTCGGGAGCTAAGGTCTTCTTCTGCCAGAAATGAAGTAAATAGCACATATACCTTAATACAGCTTTGTAAGGAATTATTTCCTCATATTCAACTTTTACTTGACATGAATGAAGTTTTAAACAAAAATCTTWTTGAGTGATGGATAATTTCAGGGATAATTTTCAAGACCCTGCATTTTACACACACAATATGTAGTCAATATAGGGTCACTCTGACCTCAGGTCACATGATTGTTACTGCAATGTGACCAAAAATATAATGTTTCACTTTCCATACTGCAGTTCCTGTATGATTTCCAAAATTTATATATGTCAAATAGTTACAACCATGTTTCTCTAAATGGAATAATTTTATTACTGGTTATGTAAATCTGTGAGTCTGAGATAAAATACGGTGTATCTCATTGTGATAATATTTTAAATTTCACTTTTTCTATTACAATTACAACCAAAATACCCAGTAATATAAACTATATTGAACATTATTAGCACACCACCTTATTATCTACACATAAGTCTGTCTCTTTTTAAAAAATAATACTTGTGTACTAACTCTCCTATTATATAGCTTTGAAATACCAAGAAATAAGAAATATTTCATWGAAATTATAGGCAGTTTCTTCATTAAATAAAACCCAAATATTGTAAAAATAATTTTCTGTCACATTCAAGCTAGGAAAAGTAAAACTAATTCATAGCCTGATCCATCATCATTAAATAAATTACTGAATTAATAGTAGCAAGATAAAGGTTCATAATAAGCATCCATTACAAATATATGAGTGCAAATTAAAAGCCTGTTAAACTTTTAACTGCATCTTCCCATGTAAAKTGTGCTGCAGATAGTTCTGTCTGCAGTTGACTAAAAGCCAAGTGTCAGAAATGTGCAATTTATAACCAGTATAAAGAAAATCTACTAKAATTCTTTTCAGTAATTTTAACATAGAGCATTCTCTTCATTGTTTTTCATATRCTCTCAAATAACTGCATTGTTAAGAGAAAAACCTCAGTTAATAAAACTCCTCTTCTTTGCTTCAAGATCCTAAATTGGGAAAGAACCAATACATTTTAAATAAGGTGACATTAATGATATTCTTTCTAGCAATAAAGCTAATAAAACTAATAGAAAGCTTGAGATACATGATGGATTAGCACAATCTTCTTTTCAGCTCATAAATGTGATTATCAGCCTCTAGAACACACCATGCCCTGTAAATATTTATTTGCGTCTTCAATGATATCACATTTTCCTTTATARGGAAACATTTGAAAGCAATTGCTTATGATGCAGCATTCTCAAGGCCTGAATCAGCAGAACATGCTTGACTAGAGCAGAAGCCTGAGCAATACTGTGGAAATCACACACAAAAATAAAAGAAACAGTTCGACTACCTCAATGGGATTATATTTTTCTGAAAACAGTGTTATAAATATTATTGTGTAGAATATAAAAGAAAAAATGTTTTATCACCCACCCAAATACTTCATCAATGTTCTTTCAGAGCAGTGCATCTGTTATCAAGAGCTTTGATTACTGAAACAAGCTTTGACCACCAATAGCGTATTAATGTGCCCATTTACAAGAAAATGCATTCACTTAAGACCCAGTCTTGCTCTCATTTGATTCTATTTTAGATTTCAATAAGAGCAAGAGCAGGTGACTAAAGTTTTAAGCTTTACAAACGGCTTCATGATTCAAGTGACAATAAAATAAAAGGATTCAGCCATTACAAATTGTCTTTAGTAATTCAGCCATGTGGTTTTATCCTTTCAATCGGTAAAGCTGCACTGTAACTGAGTGAAAATATGTAAAATAATGGAGATCGATAATTCAAAAATGATTCTAAACTGACTTTAAGTCTCAGATCWTATGATATTTTAMTTTTATATGATAAGAAAGTTATTTTAAAATATCTTTCCTTAGAGTTTTATTTGGWGTTTGAAGCATATCTTGGTTTAAAATTTAATTATTAAAATCTGAGAATTTTCAGAATAGCCACCAATATTGACTTTTTTGGCATTTGTGGGCAATTTAGACCACAATATAATAGAGGTAGATCATGCTGCACTATAATCAAGGGTAAAGAATGAACCACTTGGTGATACTTTTGAAGCTAGTGAAACTCTGCCTGAAGGAAACAGCTTTCAATCCTGCTACAGGACTGAAATCTCAATCCCCCTCAAATTTTGATTAGAATAATTTGACCTCCTTAATTTCATATAACTTTGGCTTCTGTGTTTCCTATTCTTGAAGGCTCTGCTAATTATTCAATAATGGAGGGCATGTTTGCCTATAATGAAAAAAAATCCCAGGATAAATAGACATAGGTGCAATTTTATAAAAATGATGCTGATTACTCCATAGTCTTCCTAATTTACACAAAAAGGTCCCCCAACTCATTTAGAGAACACTATCATGAAACACATTCCAAAATTCACTATTTAAAAAGGGGTGTTTAAAAAAAGAGAAGTTGTAAAATGTTTAGCTTTTGACAGTTCTTTAAGGAGAGCTATTTGCTAAGTATTATTTTAGTATTATTTCTGCCTCCAATTTATAAAACTCAAGATATGCACTGTCCAAATCAATACAGAGTGTAGTTTGTAGCATCTTGAAGATTTGCATTACAGTGCACTGTAGATTTAAAAGTATAACTGTAATTTTCACACAAGTAGCAACTGCAATAATTCAAATGTTATTCATTAAGGAGTTGAAGTCATGGCASTAAATACTTCAAAATCACTTAAGACATTTCACACATTTCATTGAATATTTACATTTATAAGGGCTGAATCAAAAAGGGTTGTTTTTATTTTTTAAAAACTATGCATGCTCCCTTTTTCTTTGGCTTCTTTAGCRCAAAACATTCCAGTACTTTTATGATCCATAGTTTAAAACCTGAAGAGCATGCAGTTATTGCTAAATACTSTATTTAAATATTCAAAAAAACCATTAGCGGAGTTAAAAAATGTATGTTGGGTTTGCCAATTCCACCTGACCATGCTGTGATGTGAGTCCCATGACTCAGCAGAGAGCAGCTGTGCATGTTTCTACTCTTGCAATGGATAGGGAAGGTACATAGCTGAATAGCATGCAGGCCAGTCAAAATCCATTAAAAAGTGATTATATATATATATACATATATATGTATAACTTGCTTAGGTAACCTGTGTGAAAGTGGTGACACGTTGCTCTACCTGGTTAAAAAGCACCAGAGCTGCATTCTTGATTGCTCCAGCTTGATTTTACCCCTGTGAGAAGTAAGAATGGTAGGTAGTGAAGTTCATGACATAGGATCACTAGTTCTTCTCTTTTTGGAATTTCTAATTCAAACAAGGCTTTAACACAATTAAAACATAATTATTAAATATTTTATTATTAGCTGGGAAAAGGGATATACATACCACCTGAAATGTTCAATAAACTTTTCTACCGAACTTGTTAGTTTATTTTAGAGAAATTAGAAATATAGAARCTAGAACTAGTAATCTGCACTCAAAAATTGTGATTCATAAATATAAATGGRATGGATACAATTAATAAAGACATGGTTAGCAGATTTGGAAACCATTGCTGCATTTRTATGGTCCTTAATACATATTAATGAAAATTTAAAGAGTTTTCCTTTCTTTGTTTCATGTCCTACTCATGATTTAATTGACAATGTGATTATCTTTTATTTGAAAAATATGTATATACAGGAAGCAAAGTACTTTGAAGACGTATGCCTTGCCATTCCTCCTTCATCCTCTAATGATGGTAGAACTCCTAAATTTTCATGAAAATAAACATCTTTAATTTCTGTTCAACTTAAATGTGATGAGTTATCATATTGTGTAARTTTCTTGTTTAGATTTAGTATGCTATACACTTGTGAATCTATAATCTTTATCTCATTGTTTCAAAARAGGATCGTATTGGTGTCTGGATGGTGGAGCCTCAGTGTATCCAGAGATATGGTTTAAATCATTAACCACAGCTAGTCCATAACTTAAATAATTTCTCACTTCTTAAGATACYTTACCAGAACTGGTCAGTTTTAGAAAAAAATAATTTAGATTGTTGCACATGTTAAACATTTTTAAAAAATCATCCAAAAATTGATCAAATCCTACTGAGTCCRTTTTGGCTAAGAAATTGATTGGAATGCCATGACAATGCTTATCTTTTGGGAATGCAATAAATATGTTCTTGTCTTCTTCACTTCACCTAGGCACAAAGGCCCTGGTGAAACCAATCAGAAAACTGAACTTATTCATTGTCTTTAAAATTCAGTAGATTGGATGATAAAGGATATTTTTAATCTCATCAAAATAATCTGTTAGGATCATCAAAAGTCAATTGAGTAGCCTAATTTCTCCAATCTGAACTTGTATTCACTGTATATGCACTGTAGATAGAAAGGCTTTTGCAATTCTGAACAATTGAGGCCTGYAGGTATATGTATTACTTTAGTTGTAGAATAAGCTTTCCATTACTGAGGAATATATTTGAAATTATTTTCCCATGTTGAAATGCAAAACTATAAATTAAAGTTGTTACTCAGCTATGATGAACAGTTGTTAAGTGGTATACAATATACAACAGTTAGTAGTCTTATGTTTGGTAAGCTTAACATAGTCTACTCATTTCACAATACAAACATTCACATGCTAATGTTAAAACCCACCAACTCATCCCCTTTAGTTATTTGTATATTTTTTTATTATTTTCAAAGTTAATTATCTTATTTTCAGAGTAGAAATCTGTTTCTTTTCTGATGATTATCTCATTAGGTATTGTACCTCTCTTTTCTCGTTATTAAAAAAAAATCCTCCTTTAAATTATCAATGAAATGTTCACTTCTGGAAGGTACTTTCAGCCAACTATTATTCTAAAGCAGTGAGTAAACTTATAATCTAATAAATGTTATTGTTCTGTTTCATGCAAAAAGAGATTTCCTCAAATTTCTARTGATAGGAATTAGAAAGATCTTGTTTAGGTCTGCAATTTGCAACCAGATTCCAGAAGAGGTTCTGACAGATTTGGGAACTTATTAATTAGCAAATTAATTAGAACGTGTTCCCAGGAAAGGGGGGGAAAATAAAAAAAAAGGGAAAAAAAAAAAAAGAAAAAGAACTAGGCATCCAAAAGAAGGTCGGTGGCTAGAGTTATTTTCTACTACAGTATATCTGATAATAAAAACAGGAAATATTACAATTTGCTCCTCTCTCACCCACAGTTACAATTTCTATAGTAATTACCTGCTCCTGGCATATTCCTCAGGGGAACAGGCTATGCCCCACTTCTAGCATGACAGACTTCAAATAATCATTCTGCTTTTAACATCAGTCAGTAAGACACCAGGAAAAAAAAAGGTTCCTTTTACAGTTCCTGTGCAGATCTATCTTCCCTCACCTCTATGGCTAAATAAAAYGTTATAATAGGGGATACATCCTCAGGGTATTTTAAGTGCTAAGTGCTGCCACTGTTAASGCACGGACCATTCTGCTTCATCTCTTACCCCTCCTTTTGCAGACCAGGCCTTCTAGCAGCAATGTTTTCTCAGTGGGACCCCTTGAGAGGCAAAACAAAGCAAGTGATGGCGTACTGTTCTAGAGRGGTAACTGAAACACTGCACCAATGTACTCTTTATCTTCCTTAAAAGACAATCAGAAGGCAGCAAAAGATTCAACAGTACTGTTGACTTGGTAGGAGAAGCTTGGGRATCTTCACAAATCCCTGTCAAAAGCCAGAACTTCTGTTCATAGGTTCCCAAATCTGGTGGATTTTTATACACATGATTTAAAAAAAAAAAAACAAAAACACTTTGTTCTTCCCATAGAAATCATCCAGAAGGAATGGAATAAGAAATCCAGAGCAGAAAATGCAATTAATATAAAATTCACAATTTTATGGGCACTGTCTGAATAGATACTGTCCACAATATGTACACTTGCACTGTAGGAATACATGTCAGACAGTTAAACAACACAGCTGTGTGTGAGCAGAACTTTATGCAAGTATTATTGCTCCAGTTTCCCAGTGGTATTGACTACTACATTCTATGGCAATGCTGAGGCCGCACCAAAGTCCTAAACCTGTCTTAACCCTATTCAAAACTTCTCCAGAATTTCTTAATATAAATACCATCCATCATTCACTGATGGATATCACAGAGTCACCTGAAATTTTCATGGTCAAATTGCTTATGAACTGTTTTCTCTTCAGGAAGTAGTATGGATACAAGTCCATTTAAAAAAATCCCCTTTGATTTATTGCCATCCAAATAATACCATCAGGATGGCCTTAGAACATAAAGGCATGATGCCTAAACCAGGCWAAGGTGGGTTTAAACAGAGCAATTGATTTGTGAAAGTCACCTTGAAATTGGTATTCAGAACWTCTCAGCACATCAAGAAGGGTTTTTACTTCATTTTCTTGGGGTGCACATACATGACATATTCACCTGGAAAGCAGAGGAGTTTCTGCCTTTGCATTGCATTTTGTTTTCTCCTCAGCTGTTCTGATAGAATATATGGYAGTACATTGTAAACTGAGCCATTCAATCTACCTTAAAGAAGAAATAAACCAATAATACATATGGCACAACCAGTGACCTGCCTTATAGCGCAGACCCACAAGCACTGAGGAAAAGAAAGTGGTAAAGACTGCCAGGGGATCACTAGCCAMGTGTGGATAGGAACTTCCCAAGTTCCTCTGTTGGTGAGGCTAACTTGTCAAGTAACCACAAATATAGTATCTGCACAGCCCCCCAACTTCCTAAGGTATATTACAACCTTTTAAAAAGTAACATATTCAGGAAATTTTTCGGTTTGTAACTTGATGGGTTAATAGGAAGACACTCATAATTGTATTTATCAAAGTTAGCCACCAGGAAAGCAGAAAATATGTAATAAAATATCATTTAAAAAAAACATCAGAATATACATAGAAGACTTTGTTAAAGGTTCAATGGAAATGAAATCGAACTTTTATTAGATCAGCCTTACATTAAAAATACTTAACTCTCAGACCCAGAGTCACTCTGAATATTTTGGKKTTTTTTTTTTTTAATACTAGTTGATCTCTTAATTTACATGGCTTTACGCTTCCTGTATCTATCTCTTATATTCTAAAATTACCATGGATAAGCACTTCTTCTATACTATCCTATACACCTGCAGTGAAACTTTTTGTCTCATAACTGTTCAACTCAAATGATAAAATATCTTGCTCTTCATCTTAAAATTGTTACGCAGAGCATCATTCTTTGCAGCTGCAGATAAACACACACTMTTTATGTTCTTTAGCAAAAATCCCATACTATGATTAATTGTATCATGGCTATGCATTAACATAATGTGGTGTATTTGATATTGCTGAGGAATGCATCACTATTGCAAATATGCCAGATATACAACTAGGATAAAATCATGAATGTAGGGCTTCTTTAGAGGAGAGTTTTCTTTATGGTAAACAAATGCTTTCCGACTAATAAGCTATTACACAACATCACACTTCTCATCGAACTGAAAACAAATTAATCCATGGTTCCTGATCCCTTAAACCTCAAATTTCCTAAATTTCTAATGGCATTGAATATACTTAGACTCTGCTAATGCATTTATTAGCTTGTCATTAAAAACCACCCTAAAATACAAAGCTTTCCTTGAATACCCTCAGCACCTGTTCACGAGCACTTCTGGTATTTGAGCCACTTAGATTTTGAAACACATGGCACTGGGTTTTTAGCCCAACTTCTGTCCCTTTGCACAATAGTAACAGCATAAATCTTTCAAGTAAGCTGTTTCCACATGCATCTATATTACAATAGATCATTTTGATCTCCAGCATAATTATAATTCAAGYTGCTGCTTTACCATGACATTCATCGGTACCTGGAGTACTTTATTTCAGCCACCATAGTCTCTGAACMCAAAAAAGTCTGCAGAAATATTACTCACAAAACTTTTGAGATAATCCAGAATACATTACTGATTCGTGATGTCTCAGGGTTAATTTTTAGAATTGTCCTAAATATTGAAAGAAATACTTTTTACCCACTCAAGTTTGCTTCCGTATGCAAAGCTGCACACTCCTTCATTGTTCCTTAGCCTTCTACCCTTGTTCCATAAATTCTTATCACATGTAGGTACTAGAAAAAGGATGTTATATCAAGAGTGTACAAGTCCTTAGACCTCAAAAACTTGAAAGAAATAATCATATTTAAAATCAAATATCCTCCAAATTTTAATAAACGAAGTGCTAATAATGTAAACTCTAAGGATCAACTATACGATTATATAATTTTTTCTTGAATTGTAATACATTAGCTTCTAAAACATAAAATATATTTACAAGATGGTTTTCAAACAATTCCAAACATGTAATTAAAACATGTAAATGCATTACTTCAATTTAACARTTAAGATACAGAAAAATCCTACCTGTTTGCTTTCTTCCATATCAGATTCACTRCTAAATTCTTCTGTATTTAAATTTTCAAAATCTGATTCTCCAAGTGCAATGGGCACTGTCACAGTGAGGCCTGGGTTGTTTATGAATGACATATAATCGTTTTCATCAATTACATATTTTTCCACACTGCTGCCTGTGCCTACACCACTGGTGGTTCCATTCCCGTCTTTAAGATAATTCAGATCTTTGCTTATTTCAACAGCAGTGTGATTGGAAATGCAGCTATCTTTCTTGTTGTTTAGCTCTTCAAGTGCTTTGATTTCCTCTAAAGATTTCTGCTTTCTAATGAAGGCTTTTCGGATGAACTCCCGTATCTTTTTTTTAACATAATCTATGCCTTTCTGAATCCTTGCCACAGCAATCTGGAGGTTGTTCATTTCATTATCATCGTCTGTAGCAGCAAGGTTGTCTGAACTAAATGAGCTCAGCAGCAAGGCCAGAAATAGGTTCAATACCTAAAAGACAAGAGAATACAGCCATATAGTAAATACATGCATATCGGAAGTGTTAAATTTGGCAGTGCTAAGTTAACAGTTGTACTTGATCTCAAAGGCCTTTTCCCATGTAAACAATTCTTTGATTCTAAAAAAATCAGTAGAGCAGGTTGCTCATCACAACTTTCTGGAGCTCTGCACATTTCTGCTGATAAAATGTCAAATTACAAGGTCAGGTAAATTACTAGGATACAAGCATTTTGAATTCTATTCTATTCTATACAAACTGAAATCATGTTAAAAATATCACTAAAGGAAGACAATTTTGAAAGGAAATTTTGACTGTAAATTTTAACAGYAAAAGAAACTGAAAAATGAAGTAAAAGTGTAAACCATTCATTCTTTTATAAAACTTATTTCTAAGAATTTCTCTCCAATTCAAGATTTATGAACTGAAATTTTGCATTTTAACTTGTCAGCTTGAATTTAAACTTCTCTACAAAGGTTTCTGATACTATTTTGAGTTAGAAGCTTTCAAACACATTTTTAGGCTTGATGGAGAATTAGTCTGGGTTTCATTTTTGCTTTTTTACATGTAAATGATAAAAAAAGTTCAGTACTTAAAATTAAACAGCACCTCTAAATTACATCCCATACCATGATGGGATGCTTTATTTGAAATTTTAGTTTCCTTCTAAATGTTTATTCCCATAGTTTCTATGTATAGAAACGTGTGAAAAAGAGGAGAAGGAAATCACAATAAGTTTTTACCCAAAATTTAGCACATTCAGATTAATTTTTTAATTCTAAACTGAAGTATGACAAACATTTTCATCACCTAGTTGTAAGTCCTGTACATTTGCCACAGAGTTCAAAAATGTTCAYCACGTACCACTAGGTTTCCAATCACCATGACCAGCATGAAAACAATAAGGCACATGGTTTGGCCTGCAAC